TGACGGAGCCTCGGGAGGGGCTGTGGGGGGTCAGAACCCCCAAACAACAACAACAAAATGCCTGGAGCCTCGGGAGGGGCTGTGGGGGGTCACAACCCCCAAACAACAACAACAACAAAATGCCCGAACTCTCTCCTTCAATATCTCTCCTTCAGTCGGGAATCTGCGCAAAGATTCGTAGAATCATAGAACCTCAGAGCACAGAGAAGGCCATTCACAGCCCATCGCGTCCGAGCGGCTTCACACAGAGCAACCGACTGGGACCACTCCCCCACTCCCCCCTCCCCCCACTCCCCCCCGCTCCCCCCCCACCCGCTCCCCCACTCCCCCTACTCCCCCCCACTCCCCCCTCCCCCCCCACTCCCCCGCTCCCCCCCCACTCCCCCGCTCCCCCCCCCTCCCCCCCTCCCCCTCCCCCACCCGCTCCCCCCCCACTCCCCCCTCCCCCACTCCCCCCCGCTCCCCCCCCACCCGCTCCCCCACTCCCCCTACTCCCCCCCACTCCCCCCCTCCCCCCCACTCCCCCGCTCCCCCCCCACTCCCCCGCTCCCCCCCCTCACCCCCACTCCCCCCCACTCCCCCACTCCCCCCACTCCCCCTCTTACCCCAACTGGTACCACTCCCCCCGCTCCCCCCCACTCCCCCCGCTCCCCCCCACTCCCCCCCGCACCCCCCACTTCCCCGCTTCCCCCCACTCCCCCACTCCCCCCACTCCCCCCTCTTACCCCAACTGGTACCACTCCCCCCCGCTCCCCCCACTCCCCGCTCCCCCCGCTCCAACCCCAACTAGTCCCCACTCCCCCCGCTCCCCCACTCACCCCGCTCCCCCGCTCCACCGCTCTTACCCCAACTAGTCCCCACTCCCCCGCTCTTACCCCATCTAGTCCCCACTCCCCCGCTCTTACCCCAACTAGTCCCCACTCCCCCGCTCCTACCCCAACTCGTCCCCACTCCCCCGCTCTTACCCCAACTAGTCCCCACTCCCCCGCTCTTACCCCAACTCGTCCCCACTCCCCCGCTCTTACCCAACTCGTACCCACTCACACCCCTCTTACCCCAACTAGTCCCCACTCCCCCGCTCTTACCCAAATCGTCCCCACTCCCCCGCTCTTACCCCAACTCGTACCCACTCACCCGCTCTTACCCCAACTAGTCCCCACTCCCCCCACTCCCCCGCTCTACCCCAACTAGTCCCCACTCCACCGCTCTTACCCCAACTAGTCCCCACTCCCCTGCTCTTACCCCAACTGGTACCACTCCCCCCGCTCTTACCCCAACTAGTCCCCACTCCCCCGCTCTTGCCCCAAATCGTCCCCACTCCCCCGCTCTTACCCCAACTCGTCCCCACTCCCCCGCTCTTACCCCAACTAGTCCGCACTCCCCCACTCCCCCGCTCTTACCCCAACTAGTCCCCACTCCGCTGCCCTTACCCCAACTAGTCCCCACTCCCCCCGCTCTTACCCCAACTAGTCCCCACTACCCCGCTCTTACCCCAACTAGTCCCGACTCCCCCGCTCTTACCCCAACTGGTCCCACTCCCCCGCTCTTACCCCAACTAGTCCCCACTCCCCCGCTCTTACCCCAACTAGTCCCCACTCCCCCGCTCTTACCCCAACTAGTCCCCCAACTCCCCCCGCTCTTACCCCAACTAGTCCCCACTCCCCCCGCTCTTACCCCAACTAGTCCCCACTCCCCCGCTCTTACCCCAACTAGTCCCCACTCCCCCCACTCCCCCGCTCTTACCCCAACTCGTCCCCACTCCCCCGCTCTTACCCCAACTAGTCCCCACTCCCCCGCTCTTACCCCAACTAGTCCCCACTCCCCTGCTCTTACCCAACTAGTCCCCACTCCCCTGCTCTTACCCCAACTAGTCCCCACTCCCCCGCTCTTACCCCAACTAGTCCCCACTCCCCCTGCTCTTACCCCTAGTCCCCACTCCCCCTCTCTTACCCCAACTAGTCCCCACTCCCCCCGCTATTACCCCAACTAGTCCCCACTCCCCCACTCCTATCCCAACTAATCCCACTCTCCAGCTCTTACCAACTCGACCCCACCCCCCGACTCTTACCCCAACTAGACCCCACCCCCCGACTCTTACCCCAACTGGTCCCACTCCCCCGCTCTTACATCAACTAGTTCACCTACAAAACACAGTCACTATTCTCATTGAACCCAAGGAGTGAGACAGATAGACCTCAAAATAAGCAGACAGTCACCAACGCAAGGGTTTTTAATGATGAAATGTATTTAATCGTCTTTTTGTACACAAGTGTGTTTTGGCGAAAGGAGTTTCAATACAGGAGTAATACTTTGGAAATGTGCGCTAAACGTTTTATTTTCAATTGGCATATTTTTTCTCTGGGAGGGTGGAGTGTGGAGAGAGGGGGGAAGGGATGGGGGCGAAGTGGGGGTCACTAGTTTTGAGAAAACTACCAGAGATGAACTATTAGCAGGGGTTTAGGTTTAAGTTTGGGCGTTGGAGTGGAGAGGTGGAATGAGCAGAGGTCAGTGACTGCTAAGAGTTAGCAAAGCAAGGAATCGTACTTTTATTATCGTCACAATAACTCAGGGAAGTAAATCACAATTTGGAAATCAACCCCTCAAGTCATTCAGTAATAGTTTCCCAGTGCACACACACAATCACACACACACAATCACACATACACACTTCATTCTGCCTCAAACCTCGCTAAACTTTTGCTTTGCTGGTTTTAATTCACACTCACTGGTCCCAGGTCAGTTCGCTCGTGAATTTGTGTGTGTCTGTGTTTGTCTATATGTGTATCTATGTATATGTGTGTGTCTCGGTGTTTGTCTACGTATGTGTGTCTGTATATGTGCCTGTGTCTCTGTGTGTGTGTCTGTGTATATGTGTGTGTCTGTGTATATATATCTATGTGTCTATGGGATGAAAGGAGGGAAGGAGGAAGAAGGAAAGAGAACGAGTGGAGGAGGAGTTCTCATTAACACATCTTTTGTGCCATTTTCTTTAAACTGAATTTCACAACTCCAACTCCACCTCAAATCAATGTGAATCTAAACTTGAACGAAGAGGAATTTGTGTCAAATCAAACGCTTTGAGATTAATTCGCAAGTCTCTGACCCGCCTCTCGTCTCTAACCCTAACAGCCTTGCGATCAGTCCTGTCTGTCCCTAAACTAATCCGTCAGTCACTAAACTAAACTGTTGCTATTTACTTTTATTTTAATTTAATTTAAAACCATATACATACATTTATATATTNAAAAAAATTCTGGTTTGTTCCCCCCAGAGGACACACAGAAGAAGGTCTGTGGACAAATACGGGAAATTTAAACCTTATTCGCCATTTAATGGACCAGATATTCCACCCGTTGGTGGAACACAAACGACAGTGATTATGCACTTAAATACAGATATGTAGCCAGGAGACAAAATACAAGCACAGCACGTTTTTACCTAGAACTCGTCACTAATTTAACAGGGGATTATGTCAATACAAAAATCAGTATCAGATCGATCCGTAAAGTCCATGGTTCCTCGTTCCTTCCGCTTTGTCGTCGATGAAACATTAAAATTGGGACGATACAAAGTTTGCCTTTTTTTTTTAATTGATCAATTATTAATTATCATGGATTATTATTTTGTCGTTGTTGTTGTTAATCGTTTTTCTTCGGCCCGGCGGGTTTGTTGGACTCCCCTGGGGGGGCCTCGATGGCCCTGGCCCCTGCCCCGCCCTCCACTGGTCCCGCCCCCGGACCCTCACCGCTCGTCCCAAACTCGTTCATCCTCGTGAGGTCCACGCGGTAAATACGTCGTTGGTAAAGATAGATGAAAAATACCACGTCTGGGAGGAGAGAAGGGACGTTTGTCACAATCAGGGCGGGGCCTGTGAGGGGAGGGGCCTGTGAGGGGAGGGGCCTGTGGGAGGAGGGATCTATGGGAGGTTGCTTGTGGGGCGGAGCCAATGGGAGGAGGAGCTCTTAAGGGAGGGGACTGGGTAACCTGTGGGAGACGGGACTTGTGGTGGAGGGGCCTGTGAGGGGCAGGACCTGTGAGGGCGGGGCCTTGAGGGGCAGGGGGCTGTGAGGGGCGGGAGCCTGTGCAGGGAGGGGCCGGTGCAAGGAGGGGCCTGTGAGGGGCAGGGCCAGTGAGGGGAGGGGCCTATGAGGGGAGGGGCCTGTGAGGGGAGGGACATGTGAGAGGTGGGGCCTGAGAGGCGGGGCTTGTGAGGGGAGGGGCCTGTGAGGGGAGGGACCTGTGAGGGGCGGGGCCTGTGAGGGGTAAAACCTGCTTCAAAGGTGTTGCAAACATTATTATTGATAGTAATAATAATCCTTGAATTGATGTCGCGACTCCTCACGTCACTGAGACGCCTCGAAGACGTGATAAGAACAAACAACATCAACAGCACACGACATTCACACAGAGCCTCTCATGTCAGGAGGACGTCCCGAGGCGCTGGACTGTCAGGGATTGGGACCCGAGCTGGGGGTTGGGATCAGGAGGGGGTGGAGGGCGGGGAAGGTGGGGGTAGGAGGGTGATCGAGGGCGTGGTTGATCTAAGAGGAGGGTCTTGAGATGGGCTTTGAAGGAGCGAGGGAGGGAACAAGGATCGGAGGGAGGGAAGGAAGTGCGATGGAGGGCGGAGAGGCTGATGGTGGGCTGGGCTGGGCCGGGTGGGGGACGCGGGCGAAGCCGGAGCCCCCTGAGCGGAGGGAGGCAGTGAGTGCACAGGACTTACCGTCTCTCAGACACCCTATTCTGTACATCATGGGCATTTTGATAACAAAAGCGAAGAGATCATCGATGAAGGTGTTGAGGGCTTTGTAGGTGAGCATCCGCCAGGGCAGGTGAGCCACGGATTTCAGCTTATAATTGATGAAGAGTTGTGGAGTCATCGTGATAAACCCTACAGCGGAGAGAGAGGGAGAGAGACATCAGACTCAACAACACCGCACCCCATCACGCAGAGCAGCGTCCCAGAGCGCTCCCAGAGGGAGGAGGAGGTGACTATAGGCATTGGTCGGTCGAAGAGGAAGAACGAGGCAGAGATAGAGGGAGAAAGGAGTCCTGTAGCTCAGTGGTTAGAGCACTCGCTTTGCAAGTGAGAGACCTGAGTTCAATCCCAGGCAGAGGGCGAAACCTTGGGCAAGTTTCCTTACTCCACACAGAGCCTAATAATAATCCCTCCAAAAAAAAAAAAACAATAATAAAAAAAAATTGGTCATTTTCAATCTACGACTGTTTGTGGGACATTGCTGTGCACAATTGGCTGCCGCGTTCGCCCACAAACATACAGTCAATTCACTTCACAGTGTGTTCTGTGAAGCGCTTTGGGACGTCCCCCCGACGTGAAAAGCGCTATATCAAATGCAAGGATTATTATTATTATTATTATTATTATTATTAAAGTGACTCTCTCGTGTTTATCTAATTCCGGAGAGTATTAGGCGCAGGTTGGCGAGAGCCAAGGTTGGGGGGGGGTGGGGGGAGCACAGAGTGCATTGGGGTAACTGCTGGAGTCTAACCAACTAAACCCACACACAGCTCAGCCATAGAGAGAGAGAGAGAGAGCGCTGTCTGGCCGAGCTTTCCCGCTGCGTGTCCCGCTCGGACCCCCCTCCCCATTAGTTAGTTAGTTAGTTAGGGCTTTGGCTGTGGGGTTAACAGGGGCTGAGGGGGAGGATTCCCTGCCCCCAGTGACTGACTTGTTAGTTTACTCACCGAAGGTCAGTAGGAACCCGTAGAGCATGCTGAGGACCCAGGAATACCAGCTCTTATGCTCCAGGTATAATAAGCTGTAAACTGCATAACAGCCCAACAACGGGAACAGAATCCAGGATAAATACTTAAAAGCCATCTGTGACAAGGGAAAGAAAGTGGGTTAACATTAGCTGTCGGACAAAGGAATCTCACCACGACTTTACACACACAGTCACACACACACACACACACACAGTCTCATACACACAGTCTCACACACACACAAGATTCCATGTGTATAGCGGCTTTCACGTCGGGAGGACGTCCCAAGGCGCCTGGAGTACAGCATTTCAGACCCGAGCTGGGGTCGGGGGGGGGGGGGGGGGGGGGAGAGGAAAGGAAGGGGAGTGGCTGATGGCATTGGTCGAAGAGGAGGGTCTTGAGGTGGGACTTGAAGGAGGATAAGGAGGGGGTGAGGCGGAGTGATTGGGGGATGGAATTCCAGAGGTTGGGGGCAGAGTGGCTGAAGGCTCTCCCACCAATGGTGGGTTGGGGGACGTGGAGCAGCCGGAGCGGCTGAGCGGAGGGAGCGGGCGGGTTGGTAGAGGGTTAGGAGGTGGCAGAGGTAGGGTGGGGCGAAGCCATGGAGGGCTTTGTATGTGGGGATCAGGATCTTGAACTGGATCCTCTGAAGGATAGGGAGCCAATGGAGTCGGGCGAGAGTGGGGGAGATGGGGTCACGGAGTTTGGTGCGGGAGAGGACACGGCTGCAGAGTTAGTTCTGGATTATCTGCAGCTGTGGAGGGAGGGGTTGGGAAAGCGTTTGCATAGTTGAGCCTGGAGGGGATGAAGGTATGAACAAGAGTTTCAGCGCCTGAGGGGTGAGGGAGTGGCGGAGTCGGGCGATGTTACGGAGGTGAGGGAAGGCAGAGCGGGTCATGGCTTGGATGTGGGGAAGAAGACAGATGAGGGTTGAACAAGACCCCCAGGTTCCTGACTGGTGGTGAGTTGGTGAGTTGTAGACCATGGAGTGTGATGCTGCCACAGCCTGAGGTGCGGAGGCGATGGCGTGAGCCAATCTGGAGCCTCAATCTTGCTCACAGTCAACTGGAGGAAATTTGCCATCATCCAGGACTTGATGTCCGACAGACAGTCTGTCAGGACAACAGGGGGTGTGGGGCTGAGGGTGGAGGCAGACAGTCTGTCAGGACAACAGTGGGTCTGGGGCTGACGGTTGGGCAGACAGACAGTCTGTCAGGACAACAGGGGGTGTGGGGCTGAGGGTGGGGCAGACAGACAGTCTGTCAGGAAAACAGGGAGTGTGGGGCTGAGGGTGGGGGCAGAAAGATAGAGTTGGGTGTCATCCCCATACATGTGGAAGTTGACCCCATGTCTGCGGATGATGTCCCCGAGGGGGAGCATGTAGATATTAAAGAGGAGACAAGGACAGAGCCCTGGGGGACGCCAGACATGACAGCGCGGGGGCTTGAGGAGAACACACACACACACGCACACACACACATAGAGCAGGGGATAATAATGATAATTAATAATAATAAAATAATAATCTTTACATTCGATACAGCGCCTTTCAATGTCAGAAGAGGCGCTTTTTGGGATTTCAAGTGTAGTTAAGGAGGGAGGGGGGAAGTGGGAGAAGGAGGGGGGTGGAGAGGGAGATGAGGGGAGAGGGAGGAAGGGGGAGAAGTGCGGGAGAGAGTGGGGAAGAGGGATGGGGAGGGAGAGGAGAGGTGGGGGGTGCAGGTTAGCCAGGCTATTATAGTATTATATTATTATATCTCACGTCATCGTAGTTCTTGGTGGACGATTGGATGTAAGTGGATTTGTCCTTCAGGGTCAGTCGGGGGATGATCCCCAACACTCTGTTCTCTCGGTCAATCTGCAAAGGACGATGGAGGGAGTGAGCAGCAGCAGCAGCAACAACAACAACAACAATAATAATCCTGGCATTTGATACAACGCCTCATCGCGTCATTGAGACGTCTCAAGCGCTTGAGTGAGCGAGCGAGTGAGCGAGTGAGGGAGTGAGCGAGTAAGGGAGTGAGTGAGTGAGCGAGCGAGTGAGGGAGTGAGCGTGCGAGTGAGTGACTGAGCGTGTGAGTGAGTGACTGAGCGAGCGAGTGAGTAACTGAACGAGCGAGTGAGTGATTGAGCGAGTGATTGAGAGAGCGAGTGACTGAGCGAGCGAGTGATTGAGCGAGTGAGTGACTGAGCGAGTGAGTGACTGAGCGAGTGAGTGATTGAGCGAGTGAGCGTGCGAGTGAGTGATTGAGCGAGTGAGTGACTGAGCGAGTGAGTGATTGAGCGAGCGAGTGATTGAGCGAGTGAGCGTGCGAGTGAGTGACTGAGCGAGCGAGTGACTGAGCGAGCGAGTGACTGAGCGTGTGAGTGAATGAGTGATTGAGCGAGTGAGTGAGCGAGTGAGTGACTGAGCGAGCGAGTGACTGAGCGCATGAGCGAGTGACTGAGCGAGCGAGTGATTGAGCGCGTGAGCGAGTGACTGAGCGAGCAAGTGATTGAGCGCATTAGCGTGCGAGCGAGTGACTGAGCGAGCGAGTGACTGAGCGAGCGAGTGACTGAGCGAGTGATTGAGCGCGTGAGCTTGCGAGCGAGTGACTGAGCGAGTGAATGACTGAGCGAGTGAGTGATTGAGCGTGTGAGCGAGCGACTGAGCGAGTGAGTGACTGAGCGAGCGAGTGACTGAGCGAGTGAGTGATTGAGCGCGTGAGCGTGCGAGCGAGTGACTGAGCGAGCGAGTGACTGAGCGTGTGAGCGAGCGAGTGACTGAGCGAGTGAGTGACTGAGCGAGTGAGTGACTGAGCGAGTGAGTGATTGAGCGAGTGAGCGTGCGAGTGAGTGATTGAGCGAGTGAGTGACTGAGCGAGTGAGCGTGCGAGTGAGTGACTGAGTGAGTGAGTGATTGAGCGAGTGAGCGTGCGAGTGAGTGATTGAGCGAGTGAGTGACTGAGCGAGTGAGTGATTGAGCGAGCGAGTGATTGAGCGAGTGAGCGTGCGAGTGAGTGACTGAGCGAGCGAGTGACTGAGCGAGCGAGTGACTGAGCGTGTGAGTGAATGAGTGATTGAGCGAGTGAGTGAGCGAGTGAGTGACTGAGCGAGCGAGTGACTGAGCGCATGAGCGAGTGACTGAGCGAGCGAGTGATTGAGCGCGTGAGCGAGTGACTGAGCGAGCAAGTGATTGAGCGCGTGAGCGAGTGACTGAGCGAGCAAGTGATTGAGCGCGTGAGCGAGTGACTGAGCGAGCAAGTGATTGAGCGCGTGAGCGTGCGAGCGAGTGACTGAGCGAGCGAGTGATTGAGCGCGTGAGCGAGTGACTGAGCGAGCAAGTGATTGAGCGCGTGAGCGTGCGAGCGAGTGACTGAGCGAGCGAGTGACTGAGCGAGTGATTGAGCGCGTGAGCTTGCGAGCGAGTGACTGAGCGAGTGAGTGACTGAGCGAGCGAGTGACTGAGCGAGTGAGTGATTGAGCGCGTGAGCGTGCGAGTGACTGAGCGAGCGAGCGAGTGACTGAGCGAGCGAGCGAGTGACTGAGCGAGTGAGTGACTGAGCGAGTGAGTGACTGAGCAAGCGATTGACTGAGCGAGTGAGCTTGTGAGCGAGCGAGCGACTGAGCGAGTGAGTGACTGAGCGAGTGAGTGACTGAGCGAGTGAGTGACTGAGCAAGCGAGTGACTGAGCGAGTGAGTGAGTGAGTGAGCGAGCGCGTGAGCGAGCGAGCGAGTGAGTGACTGAGCGAGTGAGTGAGTGATTGAGCAAGTGAGTGAGCGAGTGAGTGACTGAGCGAGCGAGTGATTGAGCGAGTGATTGAGTGAGTGAGCGTGTGAGTGACTGAGTGAACAAGTGAGTGACTGAGCGAGCGAGTGACTGAACGAGCGAGTGAGTGACTGAGCGAGTGAGTGATTGAGAGAGCGAGTGACTGAGCGAGCGAGTGATTGAGCGAGCGAGTGATTGAGCGAGTGAGTGACTGAGCGAGTGAGTGACTGAGTGAGTGAGTGATTGAGCGAGTGAGCGTGCGAGTGAGTGACTGAGCGAGTGAGTGACTGAGCGAGTGAGTGATTGAGCGAGCGAGTGATTGAGCGAGTGAGCGTGCGAGTGAGTGACTGAGCGAGCGAGTGACTGAGCGAGCGAGTGACTGAGCGTGTGAGTGAATGAGTGATTGAGCGAGTGAGTGAGCGAGTGAGTGACTGAGCGAGCGAGTGACTGAGCGCATGAGCGAGTGACTGAGCGAGCGAGTGATTGAGCGCGTGAGCGAGTGACTGAGCGAGCAAGTGATTGAGCGCGTGAGCGAGTGACTGAGCGAGCAAGTGATTGAGCGCGTGAGCGAGTGACTGAGCGAGCAAGTGATTGAGCGCGTGAGCGTGCGAGCGAGTGACTGAGCGAGCGAGTGATTGAGCGCGTGAGCGAGTGACTGAGCGAGCAAGTGATTGAGCGCGTGAGCGTGCGAGCGAGTGACTGAGCGAGCGAGTGACTGAGCGAGTGATTGAGCGCGTGAGCTTGCGAGCGAGTGACTGAGCGAGTGAGTGACTGAGCGAGTGAGTGATTGAGCGTGTGAGCGAGCGAGCGACTGAGCGAGTGAGTGACTGAGCGAGCGAGTGACTGAGCGAGTGAGTGATTGAGCGCGTGAGCGTGCGAGCGAGTGACTGAGCGAGCGAGTGACTGAGTGAGTGATTGAGCGTGTGAGCGAGCGAGTGACTGAGCGAGTGAGTGACTGAGCGAGTGAGTGACTGAGCGAGTGAGTGATTGAGCGTGCGAGCGAGCGACTGAGCGAGCGAGTGACTGAGCGAGCGAGTGACTGAGCGAGTGAGTGATTGAGCGCGTGAGCGTGCGAGTGACTGAGCGAGCGAGCGAGCGAGTGACTGAGCGAGCGAGCGAGTGACTGAGCGAGTGAGTGACTGAGCGAGTGAGTGACTGAGCAAGCGAGTGACTGAGCGAGTGAGCTTGTGAGCGAGCGAGCGACTGAGCGAGTGAGTGACTGAGCGAGTGAGTGACTGAGCGAGTGAGTGACTGAGCAAGCGAGTGACTGAGCGAGTGAGTGACTGAGCGAGTGAGTGACTGAGTGAGTGACTGAGCAAGCGAGTGACTGAACGAGTGAGCTTGTGAGCGAGTGAGCTTGTGAGCGAGCGAAAGCCACAGGGATTTGGGGAAGCCTGACCTTAACGTCCATGACCTTGGTGATCTTCCACAGGTCGATGAGGAGGCCGATGAAGACGCTGACCTGAACCACAAAGTTGGTTTCGTTATCGAGGATGTAGAGCAGAACCACCGCCGACTGGAAAACCCCGAAGATCACCGAGCGGACAGACAGGCCCTCCAGGGACTGACGGCTGTTCCAGAACTGGATATCTGCCAACGAGAGACAACAACAAATTAATAATAATAACAATAATTTCACATTTCGACCCAACGCCTCAACACGTCGTCTCAACCCTCTTCGCCACACAGGACACACTGTGAAGTGCAGTGACTGTGTATCTTGTGGGCGAAAAGCGGCAGCCAATAGCGCCCAGCGACGTCCCCACAAACAGTCGTGGGTTGAGCGACTGATTTTATTGATTGATTGATTGATTGATTTGGGGTTTATTGGCCAAGAAAGAGAGAGAGAGAGAAACCCCTCCTCTCTTTAAATAGCGCTGCGGGAGATCTTTAATGTCCGCTTCGCTCCCTCCCTCCTTCCCCATCTTCACGTCGCGCCTGAAGACCTTCCTGTTCGACCAGTGCCTACAGTCACCTCCCTCTCCCCGGCTCAGTGTCGTGCCCCCACCCACTGTCAAGCGCCCTGGGATGCTGCCCTGCGTGAGGGGCACTTGTTGTTGTTGTTGTTGAGTGTCTCGCACTCACCATTTTTGAAGGCCAGAAACTCGAAGACGCTGTGAACGATGGAGACGATGATGGTCACGGCCAGGAGGTAGGGGTTCGTTTCCAACAGGGCCACCTGCCACACAGCAACACAGCGTCAGACAAACCCACAGCTCCACTCAACTCCCTCAGCTCCTTCAAGACCCTCCCCTTCGACCGAGCGCGCCTTCGGTCACCCTCATACCCCCCCACCCTCCCCGCCCTCCACCCCCTCCTGATCTCAACCCCCAGCTCGGGTCCAAACCCCTGACTGTCCAGCGCCTCGGGACGTCCTCCTGACGTGAGAGACTCCGTGTAAATGTCATGTGGTGCTGTGGTTGACATTGTACCAGCCTCAAGCCCCGAGAGAGGGATAAAGAGAGAGAGGTAGAGAGGGAGATAGAGAGAGAGAGATAGAGAGCAGAGAGAGCGCAGAGAGGTAAGGAGAGAGAGAGAGAGAGGATCACAGTGCTGAGATTAGGGCACTCGGTGCAGGAGGAAAAACACAAACGAACGAACGAATGACACTTCACATTGGAAACATGTCCCGAGGCGCTGGATGGACAGTCAGGGGTTTGGACCCGAGCTGGGGGTTGGGGTCGGGAGGGGGGAACAAACAAACAAACAAACAAGCGAACCTTGACTGAATCCTGCTCGTCGTCTGGCTGTTCGTACAGATCCTCTCCCAGGAAGTTCCAGGGGGATTTACTGCTCTGGGCTGCGTACAGCTGCCATTTCCAGAGGCTGAGGGGGCAGAAGGTCAGCTGCAGGGGCAGCCGGTCCAGGCTGGAGTTAATGGGGAAATAATCCTTCTGCAGGTTCCAGTAATCGTTACAGTAAATGATGGGGTAATAGTCCCCACTCACAGCGTCAAATTTCACATCTGGGGGGTGGGGGGGGGAAGAGAGGCTGGAGTCAGCAACACTACAGTCAACATCTACTTACCTCCCTCCCACCCATCCTCCCGCTCTCCCTCCCTCCCGCTCTCCCTCCCTCCCGCTCTCCCTCCCTCCCGCTCTCCCTCCCTCCCGCTCTCCCTCCCTCCCTCCCTTGTGCACAGTGCCCGCTTGATAACCCGCCCGCATTAGACACAGCACCTCAACCCCTTTGTCAAGACGTCTCAAAGTGCTTGACAGGCTTTGGCTGTAGAGCGGTGTGAGTGGCCTGAGCCTCGCCCAGCCTCAAACCTCTGTGCCCGAGGGCTGGGGGAAGGGGGGGGGTGACGGAGGGGAGGAGGGGGAAATCACTTACACTGGTCTAGAGGGGGGGGCACGGCTCCCTTTACCCAGGCCGTGTGATCATCGATCATGTTGACGGTCAGATTCGGATGCCAATGGGACATGATCTCAACCGGCCCGTAATCTTCAGCTCTCTACAGGGAACAACAACAACAAGTTACATTTACTACAACGAATACAACATGTTAATTCAGGACAGCAGTGGTCCTGGAGTCGAGGGGGAAGGCTGAGAGATAGAGTTGGGTGTTATCCGTGTACCTGGGGTGGTTGACCCTCATGTCCGCGGATGATGTAGATGTAGACAGAATAATATTAATAATAATAATAATAATAATCCTGGCATTTGACCCAGCCCGTTATCACAGTGTCGAGACGTCTCAAAGCGCTTCACAGAATATACTGTAAAGTGTAGTGACTGTGTGTTTTGTGGGCGAAACGTGGAAGACAATTGCGCCCAGCGACGTCCCCACAAACAGCCGTGGATTGAGTGATTATTGTTATCTTTTTAAGGGTTTATTACCCCTGGAAAGTGATCCCCCAATCAGCTAACAAGCGGGTTCCTACTTACTGCTGGTAAACAGAGGCGTGTGCGTGGAGTAAGGAAACTTGCCTAAGGTCTTGCCCTGACCTGACCCGCACGGCGAGGGGTCTAACCACTGAGCTACAGAATATTGAAGAGTTGAGGACAGAGGCCTGAGGATTTTGAACTCTTAACAAACGGTACAATCGGGGTGGGGGGGGTGGGGGTGTGGTGCCAAGGCACGACACTGGGAGTCGGGTATAAACTCATACAAACACCCACCCACCGAGCGAGCAAAACCCACCTTAATAATCTCGGGGTCAGTCTGTGTCTCACCAGTCAGCAGGTTCTTGGTTTTCTCGTACTTTCTTCTCTTGAACTTGTTCAACACTGTTTGTTTGTGGTTAAAGCAGAGGTTTAATCCTCACATTTGCCTAATGTTTCGCCCTGACCTGCCCCCCATGGGAATTGAACCCCTGTCCTCTCTCTGGTTTGCGAAGCGAGGGCTTAACCCCTGAGCTACAGGGAGTCCACATGTTGCCAGTGCTATACATGCCTCACAGCCTAACTCAACAGCAACAACTTACATTTACATAGCGCCCCTCACACAGGGCAACATCCCAGAGCGCCTGACAATAGCGGAGCAGGACGTTGAGCCGGTGGGGGGGAGGGGGGATGTGACCGTAGCCACTGCTCGAAGAGGAAGGTCTTCAGGCACGACCTGAAGATGGGGAAGGAGGGAGGGGACAAGGCGGGGGGAGAGAGAGAGTGACAGAGTTTCGGGGTGTAGTGGCTGAAAGTGTGGCCGCTGATGGTGGAGCGGAGGGTACAAGGGACAAGCAGAAGTACAGACCAACACATGGGGCTAACACACACACGTCTCAGACACTGAGCTGTGGGAGCACAGGAGGGCGGGAGGGGAGGGAGGGCGGGAGGGAGAGAGGGAGAGTTTCACACTTACTTCGTGTTGTTGAGACTGTGGCTAGACGTTTGTACTGACTCTTTCTCAAGGGGTCGGGGTGAAATCCGCTCTTAGTGAAATAGATGTGAATGTACAAAGAACCGTTGTTTTTTACTCGCTGCAGGAAAGAGGAAGGGAGAGAATTGCTTTAAATATAAAAAGTTAAAACTTTAAATAGATGGTGGGACTGAGATCAGATTAGAATAGAGAGCTCCAGTGGGGGAGGGAGCACCAGCACAGACACGATGGAGAGAGAGAGAGATAGAGAGTCACAGAGACACAGACAGACAGAGAGAGAGAGAGAGAGAGCAGGGGTTAGAGTAGAGAGCTCTAGTGAGAGAGAGGGAGACAGAGACACACAGAGAGCGAGCGAGACAGAGATAGAGAGAGATAGAGAGACACAAAGAGAGAGAGAGAGAGAGAGAGAACAGGGAATGGGATGAGAGGACGTGCCTCTGTCGTTTTCACTTCTCCATAGTGTTCGTAACAGCCGTCACTGTTCAGCCCACTGCTCCAGTCCCCGTACACCAGGTCAGGATACTCCCAGAACAGGGGATCTGTGTTGTTAAACTCCGTGAACTGCTCATTCTCTGAGATATACACACGCAGGTCCTGGCAAGGCAGAGACAGACACTCATCATCATCATCAACATCATCATCAACAAAACGTGGCATTTACACACACCTCCTTTCAAGTCAGGAGAACGTCCCAAAGCGCTGGACAGTCAGGGATTTGGACCTGAGCTGGGGGTTGGGATCAGGAGGGGGTGGAGGGTGACCGAATAATAATAATAATCCTTGCATTTGATATAGCGCTTTTCACGTCGGGAGGACGTCCCAAAGCGCTTCACAGAATATACTGTAAAGTGAATTGACTGTATATTTGTGGGCGAACGCGGCAGCCAATTGCGCACAGCAATGTCCCACAAACAGCTGTGGATTTAAAATGACCAATTTATTATTGTTTTTGTTTTGGAGGGATTATTATTAGGCTCTGTGTGGAGTAAGGAAACTTGCCCAAGGTTTGGCCCTGACCTGCCGGGGATTGAACTCAGGTCTCTCACTTGCAAAGCGAGTGCTCTAACCACTGAGCTACAGGACTCCACGCGCGGTTGGTCGAAGAGGGGGTTTTTGAGACTGGTCTTGAAGGAGGCGAGGGAGGGCTCGAGGCGGAGGGACTGTGGGATGGAGTTCCAGAGAGTGGCGGCAGCGAGGCTGATGGTGGGGGGGGGGCTTGAGCCCTCTGAGTGAAGGGAGTAGACAGGTGGATATGGAGTTATCAGGTCACAGAGGGTAGATAGGGGGGAGCGAGGTCATGGAGGGCTTTAAGGGCAAAGATTTTGAACTCTATCCCCTGGGGGGTAGGGAGCCAGTGATGGCCAGTGAGCCAGCCGGGCGATGGTGGGGGTGAGGGAGGGTGGGTGGGGGGTGATCAGGTCACGGAGCCTGGTGCGGGAGAGGACACGAGCTGGGTGGGGTAAGAGAGGCTGAAGGCCCGACTGACGATAGTCGGGGGAGGGAGGGAGGTTAGGGGTCTTCTCGAGGTCTCACCATGAAGGTGTCCCTGGGGAAGAGGTTGCGGCTGGGAGCATGGACAACTGTGTTGGGGTCAGTCGGCTCCTGGGGTGAGCTCCCTCGACGGAACCAGCTGCTGATCAGCCAGATAATAAATATCCTGAAAGAGAAAATAAATAAAATAAAATAAAACCCGTGATTACAACCTCCAGGCTCTGCCCCCTCGCCAGAGCTCAGCCAACACTTTCTTTTGTCAGGTGAACAAGAGCTGCCTTTTACAGCAAACTTTTAATATAATAATAATCATAATAATCCTTGCATTTGATACAGCGCCTTATCACGTCATCGAGACGTCTCAAAGCGCTTCACGGCATACACCACCAAGTGTAGTGACTGTGTGTATTTGTGGGCGAAATTGCGTACAGCAGTGTCACACAAACAATCATGGACTGAGTGACCAAATTATTATTGGCTCCACCATCGATATTTAATTGGGAGAGAGGGGCAGATGAGACGACAACAACAACAGATGACATTTACACGGTGACTTTCACGCTGGACAGTCAGGGGAGGGCGGGGGTAGGAGGGTGACCAAAGGTGCGGTTGGTCGAAGCAGAGGGTCTTGAGACGGGCCTTGAAGGAAGCAAGCGAGGGGTGGAGGCGGAGGGACTGTGGGATGGAGCTCCAGAGGGTGGGGGCAGAGAGGGTGATGATGGGGTGGGAAGGGTGGGGGATGTGGAGCAAGATTGACAGCCTATGAAATGCAAGGAGGTGGAGGAGGCGCAGAATTCTACCTGGTTTCAAAGTCTAACAGCAGATTAAAAATTAAAGATTTACAACGGATTCCCTCACCTTCCCTCCCCATATCAGCCCCTCCGCTCCCTCTGCTCAGCGGACACCGGCCTGATCCAGGTCCCCTGCACTTCCCGCCCCACCATTGAGGGTTAGCCGGGCCCCCACCCTCTGTAACTCCATCCCCCAGTCCCTTCTCCTCACCACCACCCCCCCGACCCACACCCTCGCCTCCTTCAAGGCACATCTCAAGACCCTCCTCTTCAACCAACTGCCCCTTCAGTCACCCTCGTAACCCCCACCGCCCTCCACCTCTCCTGACCCTAACTCCCCAAAACCCCTGACTGTCCAGCGCCTCGGGACGTCCTCCCGACGTGAAGGACGCTCACTAAACAAGTGTAATTTGTTGTTGTTAATGGCCTCCTCCTGTCCCCGTGTCTCGATGCCCCTCACGCAGGGCAGCAGCTCTGAGCTCTACCGTTTCTCACCTGAATAAAACGCCTTTGATGACCTGCCAGGCATTGGGGGGCGGCTGCTGTTGTTGTTGTTGCTGTTGGCTTTGCCCGGCCTCTGTCCCCTGCACTTGTCCCCCCTCTACAGGCTGCAGAGCTCCCTCTGCCACTACCTCACTGCTGATCTGCAGGTCACAACAGGGAGGGGAAGAAGATTAATGATAATAATAATAATCCTGACATTTGAAACAGCGCCTTATCACCTCTCGAGACGTCTCAAAGCGCTTCACAGGACACACTGTAGATGAAACCGCAAGTCTCTAGAGAGGTGGGATTGCTATCACTGTGACACATCAAAGAGGAACAACTGGAGGGAAAGTCACAGTCACAGCGGCTGCACTGACGAAGGCTGTTTATGTGACTCGGGGGGAAATCTGCAGAAAAAGTCGAAAAACAGCAGATCTGTAGAAAGTTGCTCACCAACGGCAGCTCCAGTCTCTGTTTGTGGGAGAAACACGGCAGCCAATCTGTGCACAGCTGAGTCCCACAAACACAGGTGTGTGCGCGTGTGTGAATGCATATGTGTGTGTGTGAGTGTGTGCGTGTGTGCGAGTGTGTGCGTGTGTGTGACTGAGTGTGTGGAGTAACGAAATCTGGCTAAGATTTTGTCCTGACCGGACTCACCCGGGAATCAACCCGAGTCCCACAAACAGCCCGGCAACTCAGTTAAACGACTGCCCCTGAGCTCCCACACCAAAGGCAGAAACAATTAGTCACGTATCGTAATCCTTGTACCACATTGGTACCATATTGATATCTCACTCCCTTCTCTTAATAATAATAATCCTTGCATTTGATATAGTGCGTATATAACAACCTCATCACGTCTTCGAGGGTCTCAAAGCGCTTCACAGAATATACTGTAAAATGTAGTGACTGTGTATTTTGTGCGAGAAACGGGGTAGTTAATTGCATACAGCGACGTCCCACAAAGTCGTAGATTGAGTGACTATTCTTTTAAGGGATCATTATCCCCGGAAAGTGATCCGCCAATCAATTTAACAAGCAGGTTCCTACTCACTGCTGTGTAAACAGAGGCGTGTGTGTGTGTGTGTGTGGGGAGTAAGGAAATTTGCCTAAGGTTTCGCCCTGATCTGTTCTACTCGGGAATCAAACCCAAATCCTCTCTAACCATTGAGCTACAAGACTCACACTATATACTGTATAGAGAAACAGTGTCCTGCTAACAGGGGCTCTCCTCTTTGGGGGGGAGGGAGAGAGAGAGAGAGAGAGAGAGAGAGAGGGCAGAAGGGATTTGAGGTAAGTTCTCTGGAGCTGAATTGCCTCCAAGGTGACATTCTTTGTGTTGGAATGTTAGAATTGAGTCCACCCTCTGTGGTGTAGTGGTCCGGTGGTGTCGTGAAGGACACGTTTAGGAGAGTCACCAGGGAAGTATTTTGTTTAACAGTTAACCAGTTAATAGCTGGTTAGCAGGAATGGTGAGAGCTGATTATAATAATAATCCTCGTATTTGATATAGCTCTTTTCACGTCGGGAGGACGTCCCAAAGCGCTTCACAGAACACACTGTAAAGTGAATTGACTGTATATTTGTGGGCGAACGCGGCAGCCAATTGCGCACAGCAATGTCCCACAAACAGTCATAGATTGAAAATGACCAATTTATTATTGTTTTTGGAGGGATTATTATTAGGCTCTGTGTGGAGTAAGGAAACTTGCCCGAGGTTTCGCCCTCTGCCTGGGATTGAACTCAGGTTTCTCACTTGCAAAGCGAGTGCTCTAACCACTGAGCCTCAGGACTCCACAGTTAGAGGCTGGAACAAATGGATGCCAGAACAGGTTAGTGGAGTGAGTCAACTGCAAGGATGAGATGTAACAACAATACATGAGGACATCCCAAGGCGCTGGACAGTCAGGGGTTTGGACCCGAGCTGGGGGTTGGGATCAGGAGGGGGTGGAGGGCGGGGGTAGGAGGGTGACCGAAGGCGCGGTTGGTCGAAGTGGAGGGTCTTGAGACTGGCCTTGAAGGCTGTGAGAGAGGGAGCGAGGCGGAGGGACTGTGGGATGGAGATCCAAAGGGGAAAGAGACGGGAGTCTCTTCTCTCTCTCTCCTGGCCGATAATCCCTCAGATAAAATGACTCGATCGCTTCACGGCTGTTTGCGATGGCTTCGCTGTGTGTAAATCAGCCGA